GTCATCAATAGGCGTCGGCCATTGTGTTCCTGTTCTCGTAGGAGATATTTTGAAGCTTTTAACATCAATCTCCTGCCCTGTAAAGTGTCTCTGGTTATAGTCTGAAAACCGGAACGATCACTTTGAGGGGTCTAAATTCCCTGAAGCAAGTCTTGACCTTGAAGGATGTGATTATGTATTGGCTCTATGTGTGTACATGTATTGCGTGTACCTGTGTATGTATGTAAACGGGTCTTGGGCCTCCCCTAGGTCGACTCAGCCTCAAATGAGTACCCGGTGGGATGTGTAAAGATCACCACTGGGGAGACAAAGGCGGCCGGGCGCGTGTCGTGCCGGCCCCCGTAGGTGCTCTCTAACAGCACTTGCCCCAACAGCCAATTCAGGCTATACAGGAGATCTTTGTCTTCTACATTTGGTATGGCGAGGGTTAGCGCAATGGTTCGTGCACTGCGCTATGAACCAACCACCTAAGTTTGATTCCCAGCCACAGCTAAGAGTGGCGATTATATTAACCGGTCCTGGGCCTCCCCCAATTTCGACTCGGTCTTAAAGAGTACCTGGCGCAGCGTGTAAACGTCAGCTCTGGTTCTGGCCACACGACCACCTCGTGAACAGTTTTGGCTTTAAGAGGCGCTTGCTCACAACACTGGCCCCAACAGCAATACAAATCCCTACCCTATAGCCTTGACGAGGCTACATTGGGAATATTTGTATGCATAGTATGTGTGCGTGTGCGTGTACTGTACGTGGAGTTTTTTGCGGAGAGTGCTGGCATTGAATCAAAATGTTTGCGTTTGATTCCTGGCACGTGACACAAGAACCTGACGTCGAATCAGCCATAGATGAATACCACTCGCAGTGTGTAATGAGCAGAATGGCAACATTGGGAAGAAAAAGGCAGCCGACCCGTCTTTTGCCATGCTGGCCTTAATAGGTGGTCACAAACAACCCCTTAATCCACATTATTGGGTTAAGTGTGGTCTGTTGCACCGCACTTGAATCTCTGTTCCAATAATTGGCATCAATTATTGAGATTCATGAATTTGAATGAAAACAAAGACAGTTGGCAGCGGGAAATGCAGGGTGGCTCCATTTTTGCCAATCACCCTGGAGCCAGTGGCACAACAACGATAATCATAAAAAAAAATACTCCCAATCATTTATTCAGGAAAGCGTCACTGAGCCTCCAGAGTTGTTGTTGTCAGGAGGGTCCTGCTCACATTGGGTTTGGCATTGTGTGGCGGGGAAACCAGGAGTACCCATGGGGAAAATCCAACAGGCATGGGAGAGGTGGGGGACATTCAGCACTGCCATCTCCTGGCCATGCCTCTCAGCCCCGCGCTTGCGGCACCCGATAAACCCGAGCGGCAGTCATCCATCCAAGTACTAACCAGGCTCAACAACTGCTCGGCTTGCGGATTGCGACGAGATCGCAGTGTTGTGGTCATAGGCGTAAGAGGGTCTCTGATTGAATATCCTCTGTCACTCAAAGTTGTTTTATGCAAGCAACCAATGCAGATCAGTCAAACCAAAACACCTGCTTCTGTCCCGTGTGACCTTTACACCGAACCTTCACCAATCCCACGTGGCCCTCAATTGCATGTACCTAGCTGGGCACAAGCTCAGCGGCCACTTTTCTTAATCGTGGGCCCCTCGTGCAGGGAATTCAATTGGAGGCCGTTCGTTGCCAGTCAGATTTCCCCCTCTTCCTTGGTAGCCCGATTCCTTGGGCCCCCTCCGGCCCGTGCGGCCTGGTGCAGTGGCACCGCCTGCACCACTCGATGGCCACGCCACGGGGCTGGCCCCTTGTGCGCACCGCGGATGAAACGCCGGCGTTGTGGTAAACCGTGCAACCAGCCGGCAGGTTCGACTGCGGAGGTAAGCCTGCACCTGCCGGGGTGTTGAATAATTTAATGCTGAGCTGACCTAGATGAGTACAATTTATGTACCACGTGTTGTTTGTTCGCTGTATAGAGTACCTTTCCCAACGAGCATTATTTATCATCATCACGATTCACAGCCATGAACTATCCACGGCTGGATGTCTCCATAGAATGATTCCCATTGACTTGTCACAAAGTGGTGCATAGTTTATCGAGCTAATGCAGGTGATGGTGTCAGTCGACCGCTCCTCCGCCCCAGTGGTGATACCTGAACTCGCCCTTCACCAACCTCACTGACCAGCACGATGAAGTATGGTCAAACAACCCGAGACGGAATGGAGATGTCTTCAGAAGAGGCTTAAATGTATAATAATAATAATAATAAACACATTCCTGCGGAGGGAGCTGGTAGGAACGTTGGGTTGCTCGGTCAATGGCCAGGGTCAACGGCGGCGTGGTGTATTCCGCAAATATGCCCGACTGTGAGGGCGGGCACAAGCCGGCGTGAGTAGGTTAAACGTTGAGTTTTATAAGGGCACCACGGGGTGACCAGCCCCTCCCCACCCAACCCCACCCCTTCCACCCAGCCCCTCCCCACCCTCCCCTCCCAACCCAGCCCCACCCCTCCCACCCCCCACCCAGCCCCACCCTCCCCACCCAGCCCCTCCCCACCCTCCCCTCCCTGCACGACGGACGGACACAATAATCCCCTGTGGGCTGGTGGAACCAGTGGGTTCCTACCAGTATAAAAGTTATTTATCTAGGAAAGCCACACCGAGTCCATAAACCCATTTGCAGGAGGGTCCTGCTACGTTTTTGGTTTTCTATTTGTACGATGTTCTCAGCCAATTAATGATGAGCGTGTTTATTATTGACGTGGGGCGGAAACCGAAGAGTGCACGGAGAAACCCCACGTGCAGAAGAGGGGGGGGGGGAGGTCACACTTTGTTCCTGTACAGATGGGAACAGATGTAGATTCGTCCTCTCTTTGCTGTACCACCCTCCTGGCGAGCCACGGGGGGGGGGGGGGGTATGGCACGTGCTCAACGCCCACGGGAAGGGAGTTTCGCGGCATTCGTGTGATCCGCCAACACTGAAAAGCATCGATTTAAAAACAACAACAACAATCGAGCAATCCAATGTACCTTACGGGTTTTGTTCTTTTTACTTAGTTCACAGGGGCTTGCGCATCCCCAGCCTTCGTCTCAGAGCTTTGGCTGTATACGCCGTGGGGCACCGATTTTTAATGAAAACTTAAACTGGTTTGTTTTCACCACTCGGGGGTAATCAAACACGTTACAGGTTGTGCCCATCCTTCTTGCCCAATGTTAGCTCTTCTTTGTACGAGTGGCAAAGACAAACATTCCCGTATAGCCGTAACAGACTCTTGGGGCAAGTGCAGTTAGCAAGCACCTATGAAGGTTAGCATGGCACGCAAAGGGGTGGGTGGCCAGCACCACGCGCGGCCGCCTTTGTCTCCCCAGGTACCCATTTCAGGCTGACATAGGGAGGCCCAGGACCATTCTAGATTTGAAGCTTTCGTGACTGCAAGAATTCATACTCTTAGGTTTTTTCGGTAAAGTCACGTAAACAAAAGAATAGAATAGAAAAAATAATAGAACTAAAATATTATGTTATTTTATTATAATAAAAATAATAGGAAAAATTATAGAAATAAAATATTATTTTATTTCTATTTTTATTTTTTTATTTTTATTGATTATAATTTTTTTACCTAGGCCCAGGACCAGTTCAGATAATGGTCACAGGTGTTCGTAAGCCATGACTACTGGATATCTGTGAAAAAGAGCTTTATAGCTCATCGGATTACTCCAGTAGAAATGCATATTCTGATGATTCTGACCGGGAATCGAACTCCGATCACCAGGTTCGTAGCGCATCACCATGACAACTATTCTAACGCCCCTTCACCCCAAAACATGCGCACACACACACACTGTCAAACACAGCAGTGCAGCCAGACTTTCACTCGGGAGTGCTGCCAGCGAGCCTGAATGGCGCATGAGGACGTGGGTATGGTTGACAGCACGCCCGGCCGCATTTGTCTTCCCCGCCCCCCCCCCGTGTCAACCCAATGGGAGGCCTCGGACAGGGCCACAGATATCACTCGCCACTGAGCTGTGGCACAAGGACACACGTCAGCATGAGGCCTGTGACAGGGTGCGCATCACCAATAGCCAAACTTGACTTAAAGCTTTCGTGACTGCAGGAATCCATATCCTTGGGTTTTTAGGTAAAGTCGCGTCGATAGGTTAAATTAAAATAACAAAAAAATAACAAAAAACTACGACGTTTCGATCGCAACACAAGCGATCATCTTCAGGAAGAAAAAAAAAGACGACCGCTTGTGTTGCGATCGAAACGTCGTAGTTTTTTGTTTGTTATTTTTTGTTATTTTCTTTGAACCTATCTACGTGACTTTACCAAAAGACCCAAGAATATGAATAGCCAAACTCACCAGCAATGCGTCCCGATTTCATCGGATCTCGGAAGCTAAACAGGCTCGAACTTGGATTCGTGCTTGCATGGGTCGACCAGCATGAATGGAACGGGTTGTCATAGGCTGCTGCGGCGCTAGAGAAAGTTCAGCAGAATCCATTGTTGTACTGTATTATGCTGTAACTCCTGTGCACCCCCACTTTCAGAAAACCCACACTGATCAGCACACGACAACCAACCATGCGTGGGAGAGCTTCCATCCAGCGGTAGATTGACGGAGGGCTGCACATTGTTGAATGCATTTTTGTAAAAATAGATAGTCACAAATTTGTATATATGTCACTACCTGTGTACCCAGTAAGCGTGTAACGTTGGGCAACATTGGGTGAACGTTGGGCAAACATTGGGTGAACGTTGGGCAAACATTGGGTGAACGTTGGGCCAACGTCGGTGCAATGGTTCCAACCACATGGCAACGTTGCGCGATAACATTTCGGCTTGCGCGTCGCGACGTCATTGCGAACAACACGCAGCCTGACACCGCGGCGGCGAGAGAGGTTTTACATTTAGTTGTTTGTGTTTTAATGTGGCGGTGTACTTGACCGTGCATCTGCCCCCCGCCCGCCCCCACCCTGCTCCCTGCATTCCCCGTGGCAGCTACTCGCACACCTGGGCCAGGCCCGGGCCCGCAGGGAGTGGAACGCGCCGCCCATCGCCGTGACCGAGGGGCCCACGGGCCCCTACCCCAAATACCTCACCTCGGTACGCACACACACGCACACCAAATACCTCACCTCGGTACGCACACACACACACACCAAATACCTCACCTCGGTACACACGCACACACACACGCCATATATATCTCACCTTGATACACACACACACCAAATACCTCACCTCGATACACACACACACACCAAATATCTCACCTCGGTACGCACACACACACACACGCCATATATACCTCACCTCGGAACACACGCACACACACACACACCATATATATCTCACCTTGATACACACGCACGCACACACACACACACCAAATACCTCACCTCGGTACACACGCACACACACACCAAATACCTCACCTCGATATGCACACACACGCCATATATATCTCGGCTCGGTACAAACACATGCCAAATACCTTGCCTAGGTACGCACACAATGTATACCCTCGGTACGCACACACACACCATAAACCATACACTGTGGCACGCCTGGCCGTACCAGAGCGCACACCACCGCACACAAACACTGTACACGCCATACACACACCTTGTGACACCGCAACAACACCACGCAAGCACCGTCACCTCTGCACGGAACACAAACAGTGTTCCTCACCACCTCAAACACCACGCCACGACTTGCAGCTCGCTCTACAGTGACCATCAGTGTCTCCCCTGCCACCAGTAGTGGATGAGAGTGGGGGGGGGGGCAATGCCCCCTTCCCTCCCCTCTTTCGAAGTTTCTAGATGTGCCTCTGGTAGCCGCCCTGTCGATCTTCCACTGGATTTAAGGTGGGGGGGGGGAAGAGGCTCATGTAGGCCGTTGGAACCACGTTGGACGAACGTTGGAACGATGTTGAACGAACGTTGGAACGACGTTGGATGAACGTTGAATGAACGTCGGAACAACATTCGACGAACATTTCCAACCGCGTCAGGTGCCAGCGTTGGCCCAACATTGTGTACTTACTGGCTAGGCACTGCTCTTAATTATAGGGGGAACGGGCCCCTCTATGCCTTCCCCCATATAATCTCCTCTGCACCCCCCCCACCCCACTTCTGCACCGCCAGGTGATCACGGACAACGAGAAGCTGATGAAGGTGACGTACCGCATCTCGGGCGAGGGCACCGACCTCGAGCCGCGCGACTGCTTCTCCATCGACGAGGTCTCGGGGAAGATCTTCCAGAACAAGGAGCTGGACCGCGAGGAGCGGTGGTCCTATAAGGTGCGGGCTTCTAGCGCCATGGACGGCCGTGTCCGCACAGGCGTCACCCATAGGTTTCCCCACAGGTGTGCGCATAGGTGCCGCCATGGGTTCCTGTTGGCATTGTCAGCTAGAGCAGGAGTAGCGGTATCGGTTGCGGCAACATAAGTGTTATTTATGAAATCAGTCATCATCATATGCAGCATCACCACCAGTAGCAGTAGTTGCACCACCATCGCGATCGGCAGTGCGCGCGTTGCGATGATGACGATGTCCTTGTCTTCGCCGCCCTGCACCCGCCCTGTCGCCGCGCACAGCTCAACGTGCAGGCGTACGACGACAAAGGGCAGGCGCTGGAGCAGCCCCTCGAGTTCGACATCGTGGTGAAGGACATCAACGATAACGCGCCCGAGTTCTCGTCGTCCAACATCAAGGGGTCGGTGCAGGAGGGCGTGCCCGTCGGCGCCTTCGTCATGCAGATGTCCGGCACCGACAGGGACCAGGCCGGCACGGACGCGAGCGCCATCGCCTACCGCATCGTGTCTCAGAGCCCCGCCAACGCCTTCACCGTGGACCGCAAGACCGGAGTGGTGCGCACCACCAGCTTGCTGGACCGCGAGGTGAGGGGGGGCCGCTGCATGTCGCACGCACGGAGACCGGGTTTTCAGGAGTCGATCGGTCAAACGCCACCGGACGGCGTCGAAGTGGCTGCCTTGCCAGAGAATGGCAGGTACAGCAAGCGGAGGCGAGATGTTAACTGCCACGCCTGGTATACAGGAGGTCGTGGGTTCGATCCCGAACCCTGGTGCCTGCTGTATATTTGGAGTTTGCGTGTCTCTCTCCCTGTGGTCGCGTTGATTTTTCTCAGGATACTCCGGTTTTTCCCTCCACATTTAGAAACACACAGTTAAGAGTTTTTGGTTGCTCTACATTTACACGTGATAAGCCACTTCGTTGAGCTGTCATTAGTGACCAGTTCGCTCAGTGGGCCTTACCTGGTAAAATAAAAAAAAAGTTTAGTTTTTTGTTTAGTTGTTATTATCACAATCATCATTGCACTTGTTTACCCAGGAAAGCCTCACTGAGTCTCAAGCCTTCGTGTTATTTTCGAGGGGGAGCGATGCTGCCACGCGTAATCCCAACCGATAAATTTGTGGAAACATTTTCATATTTCGACCACGGCCCTGGAAACACAATGACCTACGCTGGCAAATGACATCGCGCGATCTTTAACGTCCACCGTGAAGCAGATGGCGCGTATTCTTATGACGAATGCCTCCGCAGTAATCGCCTGGAATAAAGAGGGCTGCTGACTAATTTGCAAATACATTTTCAGCATTGGGATGTTTGGCCCAATACCAGTTGTGTTGTATGTTTTTGTTTATTATTTTTAGATTATTTTCAGTCTGTATGCGGATTGCACGTGTGGGTCTTCTCCGGGTACTCTGGTTTTCCTCCCAAATTACACTCTTTAGAGTTGGCCAAATATCCCTATATAGGGCCATAGAGCTTAAGAACGTTTTGTGTCCGGTACTGGCTGTCTTCTCCACTTGTCTGTGGTTTCCCGCACCTCTGAAATAATTTTGTCTCTCAACTGAATGGACACTGCGTGCATTGCACATTCTAAATTACAGACGAACGAGTTAGGCTCCGGAGGTCTGTTCGTAAGTCGATTTGTTCGTAAGTCCAACTTTACTCCTGCGTCTCCTTATCCGGAGACTATGGCCACTTGTGACCGCCGGTGGGATGCGTTTCTCGGCAGACGGTGGACTCGTACAGCCTGGTGATGGAGGCGTCCGACAAAAACGGCGACGGCTCGGGGTTGTCCAGCACGACGGCCGTCTCGATCAGCGTGGGGGACATCAACGACAACCCGCCCGTGTTCTCCGAGAACATGGTAAGGGGCGGCGGCAGCAGCGCCACCTGACGGGATGCCCAGCGAAAGCCGACGAGCTGAACGTGGGCGCTGCGGTGGCAAGGAGATGTTAACTCCCTCGCCTGGTATGCAGGAGGTCATGGGTTCAATCCAGACCCTGACGCCTGCTGCTGCTGTATATTTGGTGTTTGCAAGTTTCTCTCTCCATGGTCGCATGGATTTTTCTCCTAGTCCTCCAGTTTTTCCCTCCACATTTATAAAAATGCATTTCGAGTATTTTGCTGCTATCAATTTCCACACTATGAGCCACTTTGTTGAGCTATAATTTGTGGCCAGGTCTCTATAGCTCAGTGGGCCTTGCCTGGTAGAGTAAAACAATTATTTAGTTTAGTTTTAGTCCAGTGTGGTGGTTGAACAGTGCGGATGAGATAAGCCAGTCAAGTCAGTCTGGTACACCACGGGTAGAGGGATGGCCGAGTGACATTCATGGGAAAAAGAGTGATAAGGAGGCAACTGAGCAACTGGGGTGGATCGGCGAGCGCTGGAATCATCCATCAATCGACCCGAAGTGGTAATACAACTGTGGCAACAAAGCATTTATTTATTCAGTAAAAATTAAGGATATGAACGTTCGAATTCTTCAGTTCGTGTAGATCGCACGACAAGTTTCTAGGATGAGAGTGCCCTTCATAGGAGGAATGGTAACCCTGATGGTAAGCTACTGTCGGGCGTCTCACAACATCGCTCTCTCTGTGCATGCGCCGCAGTTCACCGGCAAGGTGGAGGAGAACAAGAAGGATGTGGTGATCGGCCGTGTGAAGGTGACGGATGCCGACCTGGTGAACACGCCGGCGTGGCGCGCGCGCTACTTCATCGTCAGCGGCAACGAGGGCGGCAACTTCGCCATCGAGACAGACCCCGTCACCAACGAGGGCGTCGTCAAGCTCATCAAGGTACCACCACACGACGGTGTCACACGGGGTCCTCGCTGCTCGCTCGCCTGCACGGCCCACGTCCTCCACGGCCCCGCATCTCCACATCCCCGCGTCTCCACGCCCCTGTGTCCCCGTGACCCCACGTTCACCTGTCCCCGTATTTCCATGCCACCATGTCCCCCTGCCACCGTGACCCCCATGCTCCCGTGCCCTCCGTGTCCCCGTCCGTAACCCCCCATATCCCCCGTGGCCCTGTCATTCCCCCCACGTGTCCATGTGTTCTCCCGTGACTGACCCTGCGCGTCCCTCCCTCCCCCTCGCCGATCCCCCCCCCCCGCAGCCCTTGGACTACGAGATGACGTCATCGCAGTCGCTGTCGATCCGCGTGGAGAACGAGGTTTCGCTCGTTAGCGGCAGCAGCTCCTCTAGCTCCATGAGCGTCTCGGGCGGCGGCGGTGGTGGCGGCGGCGGTGGCGGCAGCAGCAGCCACAACTCCATGTCCATGTTCTTGGTGGACGTGCTGGACGTGGACGAGCGGCCCGTGTTCGCGCCGAACATGATCCGCGTGGACCGGCTCGAGGGCCAGGCCACGGGGCAGAGCCTCGCAAAGTTCAAGGCGTCAGCACCGACCTCCGTGCCCGGGGGCGCCTCCCACATCATGCGGTGAGCCACAAACCGATCCCACTCGGTAGACAGCGGGGGATGGCGGGTGAGGAAAGGTGGAGGGTGGATAGATAGAGAGAGGAAGGGAGGAGAGAGAGAGAGTTTGGGGATAGAATGGAGTTGGAGAGAAGACATTGGAGAAAATATTTGAGAAAGATAAGAGTTCGGAGATGAAGAGATGGAGGCACAACGAGCGTGTGCGCAGATAGGGTTGGGATACTTCACAAGGAGATACAAAAATAGACCGACAGAGAGATAAGACACATTCATAGAGAGAGAAACACGCATAGATAGAAATACAGAGAGGTAGATCTGTGTGTGGTGAGGTAGGGTTAAAGATATACAGATAGACAGAGGTAGTTTTATTATTTATTATTTATTTTTTACCTACGTGACTTTACCGCAAAAAACCTAAGAGTAAGACAGAGATAGATCTGTCTATGGATAAACATAGATCAATCAATGTTATGGAGAGATACAGACCGACAGATATAAAATAGACGGATGGATGGACGGACGTCGGGCGGCACAATGAGGTGGACGCATAGATCGGCGATTGTGTAAGATTGTACGCTCGTGAACTGGGGCCGCGTGTTCACCCATCTGTGCCGCCATCTGTGGGCGTGGCCCCGCAGGTACGGCAAGCTGAACGACCCGGCTAATTGGCTGGAGATCGACCCTGTGACGGGAGACATCCGCACGCGGGCGCCGCTCGACCGCGAATCGCCCTACGTGGTGAACAACACCTACACGGCGACCTTCTCCGTCGTGGACGAGAGTAAGGGACCGGCGGGACACTCGCGACCTCACCGCGTTGCTGGGGCGACGGTGTCGATGGTTCCCATGGGAACGGAGATTTTGGGTCGCGTTGCCGTGGGCAGGTCGATGTCACCCGGGCGATGTTAGCTGGGTTACCGTTAGAACGGTGGTGTTGTTTGGGTTGCCGTGGGAATGGTGATATAATTCAGGTTACCGGCGTAGGAATGGCAATGTCACCTGGGTGATGTTATCTGGGTTACCGTGAGAACAGTAGATGTTGTTTAGGTGTCCATGGGAACGGTGATGAATCCCGAGCGACATTACTCCGATAGATAACAGTTTCACCTCGGTGATGGTACCCAAGTTGTCATGGAAATTGTAGTTATCACCTTGACACAGTTACGTCGGTTCCCATTGAAACATTGATGTTATCTGGGTCACCGTGGAAATGGCTGTGTAACCCGGACGATGTTATCTCAGGGGAACTGGTGATATTACCCAAATGATGTGACCTGGATTCGATGAGGACAGTGACGACGACGATGATCATTGTTTAAATGGTCAAGAGACAAATACTGACGTTGCTGCTTATGAAGGTCCAATTTCCACAACGATCCGAATTCGACGTTTGCTGCTCCGAATTCGATTTGCTTCGTTAGCCGCACTTTATTTTGTTTGTTTTGCCTTCACCATTTCGGTCACCCGGGTCAATCCCTCACACGAATGAGCCTCTACGCCGACCCCTGACCTCTTGAGCTCTCGGGCGATCAAACGAGCGAAACGGCGAGAGGGCCGACGCGGCCGCCGGTGCTGACGTCTTCCTCCTGCGCGCGCCGTTGTCCCCAGCGTCTCCGTCGGGCACGAGCACGGGGACGATGGTCGTCAAACTCGACGACAACAACGACAACGCGCCGGACGTGGTGACGCGCAACGTGAGCGTGTGCGAGACGGGGCCCGACTACGTGACGGTGACGGCCAGCGACCCCGACACGGACATCAACGGCAAGCCCTTCACCTTCGAGCTGCCCGCCGACTCCGCGTGGACCGTCTCCGAGACCGACGGTTAGCGGCGACGTGATGGGCGAGGCGGTGGTGGTGGTGGCGGTGGTGGTGGCGGCGGTGGTGGTGGCGGTGGTGGTGGTGGCGGCGGCGGTGGTGGCGGCGGCGGCGGCGGCGGTGGTGGAGGCGGTGGTGGTGGTGGCGGCGGCGGTGGTGGTGGCGGTGGTGGCGGTGGTGGTGGTGGTGGCGGTGGTGGTGGCGGCGGTGGTGGTGGTGGCGGCGGTGGTGGTGGCGGCAGTGATGGTGGCGACGGTGGTGGTGGTGGTGGCGGGGAGGCGGAGGGAGAAGGGGGGGGGGATACATGAGGGAGAAACATTGGCAGACACTGGCAGATGCAGGAGGAGGTAGAGCGAGGCATGGAGAGACAAGGGAGACACAGGGACATGGGAGATGCATGGGGAGATGCGTGCATGGGGAACATACTGTGCTACAAACCAAGCGACCCGAGTTCGATTCCCGCTCACGGCCAACACCAGTGGCGATTGTCTGAAGCAGTCCTGGGCCTCCCCTAGGTTGACTCGGCCTCAAATGAGTCCCTGGTGCGGTGTGTAAACATCGCCATTGGGGAGACAAAGGCGGCCGAGCGTGGTGCTGGCCACCCACCCCCTCGTGTGCAGTGCCGGCCTTCATAGGTGCTCTCTATGTATGCATGTTGAACTTATTTTGCACTGTACGTAGCCAACCGTGCTAGTCGGAAGTGCGGGGGAAGGACAACAGACTAAACACAAAAGCATTTCTAAACAAATAATCTTTAAATCTAGATTTAAAAGCGCATCACTCCAGTGGCTTCCTAATATCGCTAACAGCACTTGCCCTAATGGTCTGCCAAGGCTATACGGTGGGGATCTCTGTGTCTGTTTTGTGTGTGTGTGCTCGCTAACAGCACTTGCCTCGGTAGTCTATCAATCGGCTAGACCGGCCGGGGGAATCTTGGCCTTTGTGCGTGCGAGGCCAACCTCGGGCACGCGTCTCGTGACCGCCATCTCCCCCCTCGCGCAGGCACCTCCGCCGTCCTCAAGTACCGCTCCCAGCGCATCCCCCGCGGCATGCACGCCGTGCCGCTCATGGTGCGCGACCGGCTGGGCCTGGGCGAGGTGCGCAACGTCACCGTGTCGTCGTGCCCCTGCGAGGCGGGGTCCTCCAAGCCCTCCTGCGAGGCCGTCGGGATCGCGGGGTCACGCGGGGGGGGCCTCTCCGACGGGGCCCTGGCAGGGATCCTCGCGGGGATTCTGGGCTTCCTCATGCTCGGTACGTGGGGGGCGGACCCCCCCCCCCCTCCACCCCTACTAATGGGGTCCAGAATGTTGGCATGGCACTAGCGGCGAGGGGAAGTGGAGCCCCGTGGTAATGATGTTTACACCGCTTGTACCGCATACCGATTATCAGCAGAAGAAGACAACCTGATGATGTGGACAGTGAGGAGTAGGGAATTGGAACTGTTTGGACACATATGTAGGATGGACAACAACAGGATATTAAAAGTGTGTTGTTGTTCGGAAAAATGGAAGGATCTGGAAAGAGAGGAAGACAGAGAATGGTGCCAGAAAGACTGTGCCTACTACTTGAGCCATATTGGCACAAGACAGAGGAAAGCGAAAACAAATGACGAAACAGTGCAGTGAACACCTACAGGCTATCTGTCCATGGATCTTGAAGATGATGACCGAATATCAAAGTGAATCGCACCGCATAATTTTAAACGTTTACATTTCTGCAAGAACACCATTGGAACCTCCTTTGCCAGTAGCAAAATATGATAATTGTTTTTTTACCCTTTTATCTGGCAACAAAACTGACACCTTTTTTACAAGGAGTCATGTTTGCATTAACCACAATACCTGCGGTCGGGATGCAAACAAAAAACACAACTCTGATAATGTTTTGTTGCCAGATAAAAGTGTAAAAAACAATTATCATATTTTGCTACTGGCAAAGGAGGTTCCAATGGTGTAAATGCTTACCCCGAGCTCTCATACTCTGATGGTGCATTGTCTTTGAGTTGTGCGCCTTTTGGCGTCATCGGGTGCATGTGAGACTAGGCTCTAAGAAAAGCTTTCTCGGGTGTGGACCAATCAATTTCAAGGACAGTGCATATCATGATCAGAGTTGTGTTTTTGTTTGCATTATGACTGCAGGTATTGTGGTCTATGCAAACATGACAGCCTTGTAAAACAAGGTGTCAGTTTTGTTGCCAGATAAAAGGGTAAAAAAACAATTATCATTTTCTGCAAGAAGTTTATGAAATCGTTGCTTTGAAACTCGGCGTGTGGTAGAATGGTTCTAAAGTCGACTGCCGTGTCGCACCGAGCTGTAGGCCTGGCTGAGAGAGAATCCACAATCTCTCACTTATCCTTGGCTTGTCGAGAACAAGAAAAACAAGCAGCATCGCCATAATCCGTGACAAAAATTTGCCCAAATGTGTGAGTGTATTCGTGTCGGTGTTTGCATTTCTCCGTGTGTCTTTGCCTCGGTATTTGTCTGTGAGTGTATTCGTATCTGTGTGTCTGTGTCTCAGAATGTTTCCGTGTGTGCGTCTCCATTTATCTGTCTCTGTGTCTTCGTGTCTGTGTGTCTCCAAGTGTGTTTGTGTGTGTATTTCCATATCTCCGTGTGTCAAGATGTCTGTGAGTTTTCGTGCCTCTCTCCATGTCTGTTTGCCCAATTACATCATCACCCTTGTGAGCTGCACTCTTAACACCTGCATACAATGGTAGGCTCCTCTGATTACCTTTCTTGTTAACATTACTTCTTGTCACCAACCGCCACTGTCTTTCACACACGGTCTCACTGGGCATGGCTCCCAGAAAACGATGTGGTTAGTCGTTTTGGTCGTTGAGATGGGAAAGGTTAAGCTAACTCACGCGGGATAGTGCACACCGCCTGGCGCACACCGCCTGGCACACACCGCCTGGCACACACCACCTGGCACACACCACCTGGCACACACCGCCTGGCACACACCACCTGGCACACACCACCTGGCACACACCACCTGGCACACACCACCTGGCACACACCGCCTGGCACACACCACCTGGCACACACCACCTGGCACACACCGCCTGGCACACACCGCCTGGCACACACCACCTGGCACACACCACCTGGCACACACCGCCTGTGGCACACACCACCTGGCACACACCACCTGGCACACACCGCCTGTGGCACACACCACCTGGCACACACCACCTGTGGCACACACCGCCTGTGGCACACACCGCCTGGCACACACCACCTGGCACACACCACCTGGCACACACCACCTGGCACACACCACCTGGCACACACCGCCTGGCACACACCACCTGGCACACACCGCCTGGCACACACCGCCTGGCACACACCGCCTGGCACACACCACCTGGCACACACCACCTGGCACACACCGCCTGTGGCACACACCACCTGGCACACACCACCTGGCACACACCGCCTGTGGCACACACCACCTGGCACACACCACCTGTGGCACACACCGCCTGTGGCACACACCGCCTGTGGCACACACCACCTGGCACACACCACCTGGCACACACCACCTGGCACACACCACCTGGCACACACCGCCTGGCACACACCACCTGGCACACACCACCTGGCACACACCGCCTGGCACACACCGCCTGGCACACACCACCTGGCACACACCACCTGGCACACACCGCCTGTGGCACACACCACCTGGCACACACCACCTGGCACACACCGCCTGTGGCACACACCACCTGGCACACACCACCTGTGGCACACACCGCCTGTGGCACACACCGCCTGTGGCACACACCACCTGGCACACACCACCTGTGGCACACACCACCTGGCACACACCACCTGTGGCACACCGCCTGTGGCACACACCACCTGGCACACACCGCCTGGCACACACCACCTGGCACACACCACCTGGCACACACCACCTGTGGCACACACCGCCTGGCACACACCGCCTGTGGCACACACCACCTGTGGCACACACCACCTGTGGCACACACCACCTGGCACACACCACCTGGCGCACACCGCCTGGCACACACCACCTGTGGCACACACCACCTGTGGCACACACCGCCTGGCACACACCGCCTGGCACACACCACCTGGCACACACCACCTGTGGCACACCGCCTGTGGCACACACCACCTGGCGCACACCACCTGGCACACACCACCTGGCACACACCACCTGTGGCACACACCACCTGTGGCACACACCACCTGGCGCACACCGCCTGGCACACACCACCTGGCACACACCACCTGGCACACACCACCTGTGGCACACACCACCTGTGGCACACACCACCTGGCGCACACCGCCTGGCACACACCACCTGGCACACACCACCTGGCACACACCACCTGTGGCACACACCACCTGTGGCACACACCACCTGGCGCACACCGCCTGGCACACACCACCTGGCACACACCACCTGGCACACACCACCTGGCACACACCACCTGGCACACACCACCTGTGGCACACACCACCTGTGGCACACACCACCTGGCACACACCACCTGGCGCACACCGCCTGGCACACACCACCTGGCACACACCACCTGGCACACACCACCTGGCACACACCACCTGGCACACACCACCTGGCACACACCGCCTGGCACACACCGCCTGGCACACACCGCCTGGCACACACCACCTGGCGCACACCACCTGGCGCACACCGCCTGGCACACACCGCCTGGCACACACCGCCTGGCGCACACCGCCTGGCACACACCACCTGGCACACACCACCTGGCACACACCGCCTGGCGCACACCGCCTGTGGCACACACCGCCTGGCACACACCGCCTGATGCACACCGCCTGGCACACACCACCTGGCGCGCACCGCCTGGCGCACATCCGCTGGCACACACCGGCTGTGGTACACCGCCTGGCGCACACTGCCTGGCACACACCAACTGTGGCACACCGGCTGGCACACACTGACTCCACACACCGCCTGGCACACACCGCCTGTGGCACACCGCCTGACCTCGTGCCTCGCCCTGCCCTCCGAACTCTTCAGGAATCCTGCTGCTGCTCTGCTGCTGCAAGTTCGGCAAGAAACAGGCCCTCATCGGGAAACTCATGGGGGAGCTTCCCAAGAGCTCCCTGTCGACCTCCACGCGCGGGGAGGAGCAGGACAAGGTGAGCCACGGCCGCACGAGTCGGCGAGTTAGCGAATCGGCGGGTCGGGGAGTTAGCGAGCGCCCAATTAAGGTCGGAAATACAGATAAGGAGACAATACACCCCTGTCGCATATCACCTGCCCCTCCGCATAATGAAATAAAATATTTTCTACGCATTCCGTCAGCCAAAAAACTATACGGACTTCGTAAAACTGTGGGACTCATATCCATACGAGAGGGTCCCTGCCTATCAACATCTGGCCGAGCTCTCGTGATGAGAGACTGAATGTTGCGAACGACCCAGTTTGCTTGTATTTGAAGCCAGTGCTGCTGAAAACCTTGTGGCTGATTTGATATGTAAAAAAAACACTTTGGGTTTTTAAAAGTATTTGATAGAATGTTGGGATGGTGTTGTTACTTTATATGAGTGTGGCATAGTGGCTAGCACTGCACGGCGCTATGAACCCAACTTCCCAGATTTGATTCCACGAACATGACTCACATCAATATCAGAGCCGGTTATGGGCCTCCCCTAGGTCGACTCGGCCTTGAATGAGACCTGGTGCGGTCTGTGAAAACCTTAGCACTGTTGTGACAAAGGCGGCCGGGCGCGCGTGGTGTTGAAGGCCTTTGCTGGATGCTCGCCAACCACACCTGCTCAAACACTCCTGTCCAACCACACCAACCCCAACATTCGATGTAGTCTGCACAGGGGAAGCTTGTCGGTGTGCAAGCGCGCGTGAGCGTGCGTGTGTCCGTGCGTGCGTGCGTGAGCGTGCGTGTTTGGCACGGCCCATGTGACCACCACACAGCCAAACAGGCCGCGTGCGAGGCAGCTGCCTGCCTAGGCGGCGGGTTACAAGGCGGCAACAGAGGTTGCTGAACAAACTGAACACGTAAACAACAACAAAAACACACACGCAAGCAAATAAGCGCGCAGAAACTCACGTGCATATGGTGGAGCATTTTTAGTAATACAACAAACAGACCTAATTTTTTATCTAGTCACATACAGGAAAATGTATTAGTTATTTTTTAGTCCATTAAACCCAGTGTTACTCAGCAGCATTGCTATATAACAGGCATTATCCTGCTGATGAAATCCATGAAGTCAGAACTGATATATTAGTTTTGCTGTACAGCCAAACCCTTGCGGATACAACTTCGGTCGATGTTGTTTTATTTTTGCTTGGAGAGGCAAAATCTTGACTTTATTAAAGTCTCTTCATAAAGGTGAGGACCAGGCGGGGCATTATCTGTCATGCCCACGGGACCCACTTATGGATGAATACAGCTTCACCTGTGGAGGCTGCTCCCCCCCCTCCCCCTAGCCCCAAGCAACTGTACCAACTACCCCATTGCTAATTTGTCCACCTGTGTTTCTCTCCTGCCTCACACGCGCGCACACACACACACGCGCACGTACGTGCATGCACACACATACCCACTCACCCGTACGCACACAAATACACGCACACAAATACACACACATACACACACACAAACACACACGTACATAAACTAATACACGCGCACGCAGGCACTGGGCGGGATACAAGGACACAGCGAGATCGTTCCGCTTGTCACAAAAGGCTCCGCCAGCGCCAACTTCTCCTCCGGCAAGGTCACCAAGTCAAAGGTGCGTGCTGCTCTACGAGCCCGCTGACACGAGTTCAATTCTCACTCGCGCCCAGTGGCGATTATCTGAACTGGTCCTGGGCCTCCCCTAGGTCGACTCAGTCTCAGATGTGTACCTGGTGCGGTGTGTAAACATCTCCGCTTGGGAGACAAAGGCGGCCGGGTGTGGTGCCGGCCACCCAGCCCCTCGTGTGCTGTGCCGGCCTTCGTAGGTGCTCGCTAAACAGCACTTTCCCCAACAGTCTGTTAAGGCTATAGGGGTAATATTTGTCTTCCACAGTGATTCACTGGTGCGCAGCAATAGTTGTAGTGGTTAGGACACTACCCGAGTTCCATCTCCTACTGAGGACCAACATCAGTGGCGAATATCTGAACAGGTCTTGGCTTCCGCTAGGTTGTCTCAGCCTCAAATAGGTACCTTGTGTTGTGTATAAAGTTCACAAGTAGGTAGAGAAAGGCAGCCTGACGTGGTGCTTAGCCACACCACTCACCTCGTGTGTCATGTCGGTCTTCATAGGTGTTCGCTTAACAGCACTTGCCCCAATGGGTTGTTAGAGGCTATATGGGGGATCAGTGTGTGTGAGACTCATGAGACTGACTCTTCACAGCCAGGACCTGTACAACTGTCCATCAGTGCTGGAGCCCAAGCAAGGCTTATTGTTGTGTTTGCTGTTGTTGTTAATCGTTGTTGTATGTTGCTGTTGTTGTTGTTTGACAACCCCCGTGGTTTTAATAAAGGTTGTCCCAGTGCCCCGACCCCCCCCCCCCCCCCAGAACATTGTGAGCAGCCGGTGGGTTTCCCTGAGCAGTGGGTGGGGCTAGCTGGGCAGTGGGAGGGGCTATCTGGGCAGTGGGAGGGGCTACCTGGGCCGTGGGAGGGGCTATCTGAGCAGTGGGAGGGGCTATCTGAGCAGTGGGAGGAGCTACATGGGCCGTGGGAGGGGCTATCTGAGCAGTGGGAGGGGCTACCTGGGCAGTGGGAGGAGCTACCTGGGCAGTGGGAGGGGCTACCTGAGCAGTGGGAGGTCCTATCTGGGCAGTGGGTGAGGCTATCTGGGCAGTGGGTGGGGCTACCTGAGCAGTGGGAGGGGTTACCTGGGCAGTGGGAGGGGCTACATGGGCAGTAAGAGGGGTTACCTGAGCAGTGGGAGGGGTTACCTGGGCCGTGGGAGGGGCTACCTGAGCAGTGGGAGGGGCTACCTGAGCAGTAAGAGGGGTTACCTGAGCAGTGGGAGGGGCTACCTGGGCAGTGGGAGGGGTTACCTGAGCAGTGGGAGGGGCTACCTGAGCAGTGGGTGGGGCTACCTGAGCAGTAGGGAGGGGCTACCTGGGCAGTGGGTGGGGCTACCTGAGCAGTGGGAGGGGCTGGCAGGGCTGAAGAGCAGTGGGTGTGGGTCCATTGTGGCCACACAGGGTGAGGAGGCCACTGCCTGTGTGGGTAGGGCTAGCTGAGTGAACAGATCCGCTCACCATGCATGGGTCCTGGTTGAGTCTCTCGGGAAATGCATTAGCTTCGCCTGCAGGGCAGCAGCAGGCCTCGCTTACCGGAGTGGCCCTCCGGCTTGTTGACGACGTCCCATTCCCACTTCCGCCGGCAGTACGTGAACCAGGTGGAGACCGTGACGGAGAGCGAGTCCGGGCTCAACCAGGGCCGGTCGTTCGCCAAGAGCGCCGGAGCGGCAGGGGCAGCTGCAGGGGTAGCTGCAGGGGCAGCTGCAGGGGCGGGCTTCGGGGCAGGCATGGGGGCCGGAGCGGGCGGAGGGGCCGGAGCGATGAGAGGCGGCGCTTACGTGGAGAACAGCGCGGCTGGAAACATGAGCAACGGACACATGGTGAGCGCTTCGTCGTCGTCAAGATCAGAATCAGATTTAAGAAAAAAAATGTATCCTGGAGAAATACGATGAGCTGCGAAGCTCATCTTTTTTTTCACGGATGCCCAGTAGGGGGGGGGGGGGGGGTCAGAAAGTTACAACAACAAACAATACAAAAAAAACCCGATAGGAATGCAAAGTATAGGAAAAGATAAGCAAATCACAAAAAATGTATAAATGTAAACTCAACTCTTTTTATTTTACCAGGTAAGGCTCACTGAGCTGTCAGTTCTTTTTCAGAAGGGACTTGGCCACAAATGATAGCTCAACAAAGTGACTTATCACGTGGACATTTCTAACAGACAAATCATCTAAAATGCATTTCATTAACGAGTCATCTCGAACAGTGAACCCATCAGCAGCACTCGTCACCACCATGAGAGTTATCTTCATTATCTCTGTAATCATTGCCTTCATCATCATCATCATACAAGTATATTGGTTATTTTGATGTTTGATCATGTGGTTGAGTGTTTGGCTGTTTTGAGTGGCTGATTGAGCGATCGAGTGTTTGAGTGGTTGTTTAAGTGGGTGACTGGGTATTTGGTTGTGTGTTTGAGCGGTTAGTTGATTGAGTAGTAGTTGAGTGGTTGGTTGAGTGATGGGCTCATTGAGAGGGTAGCTGAGTGGGTTGGTATTGTTGGGGAGTCACATGATGTGTGGATTGTCATTGCATTGTAGCAGGATATCATAGAACGGCATGACATCATTGCTCTTTTGGGCATGACTTTTTAACTTGGCTTTTGAACGTGGATGCTGATCTCGGACACGAGTCTGCTGTCATTATTCATTGAATCTACGACAGGTCTGATGAACACATTTCTCGCCCCCCCTCCGCCGTGTTTGTCTCTCCCAGGGCACCTTCCACAGCTCCGTGTCAGACACTGAGATGGACGGCTCGGGCTACATGGTCAATGCGGTACGGCATGAAACAGCCAATCATCATCATGAGCATCATCAGAAGCGTCGTCATCCTCATATTCATATTTCATCAATGTTGTTGTCATCGTAAATACGCGTAAATTGTCATCATCATACGCAGAATTATCATCACTATCATTGTCAATCACACAGGTTCAGCCAGAAGTAACGGCAGCATCAACCTTTACCAAAACCCCAATCGCCACCATTTTTTGATGACCGGGCCGTTTTTTTTGCCAAAAATTGGTGGAAAGTGGTTTCCGTCATCGTCACCATCAACCAAATTATTAAATATGGGATGATGTGTAGCACTCATCGTCGCCCTTTACTGCGGACACTATGGCAGGGCCCCCCTGTAAAAGTCAAGACAATCAAAATTAGGCTTTTTCTGGGAAGAACAAATGTAATCAAAGAATTCAACTCATTAATTATCCGCTGAAGGTTCTTGGCAAGGCATCTCCATCCCCGACTCTTGCGACGCAACAATCCGTCGGCGAGCTTGTGCCCACGAGCCCAGACACGTCTGTGAAAAAGAGCTGCATAGCTTGATTTGAAGCTTTCGTGACTGCAGAAATCCATACTCTTTGGTTCTTTCGGTAAAGGCAGTAGGTATAAATGAATAAAATAAAATTAACTATGTGACTTTACCAAAAGAACCAAAGAGTATAGCTGTATAGTTCATTGGATTTCTGCAGGATAAATAAAGATTCTGAGCCCATCTCGTCGCACCGCGCGCTACGTGGGACGTCCTCTCGGACGCACTCCCTCTATTGGCTGCCACTTTGTTATTAGCCTCAGCCATTACACCTGCGGCCTTGACTCTTTCCCGTTCCCAGACGTTCGCAAGTTGCAGCGTGGGGGGTCCCGTTCGCCGGTGAATCTCAGAACACGCAAGCAGTTGACATGAATTTTATTTAGAGAGGCGGATCTCCAATTTTTTTAAAGACCGTGTACTCACCGCAGAGAACCGTAGCGACACGACCGCACTCTATGATAGCTGGCGCCAAACTGTGCCACGCCCTCCCGCCTGGCTTTATGGAGCCTCAGTACCCATAAAGTTATTTTATTTTTTCTTCTGATTCCGTTCCAATGACGTACGTATACATCATCGGAATGGGAAAGGGGTTAATAGGTGCTCGCTAACTGTGACTCGCTCCAGCGTTGCCACACAGGCTGACCGTTGTCTCTGTGTTGTCCGTACGCGCGCAGGGCGGTGGTGGCGGGTGGCCAATCACCACGCTCGCACGTGGATCTTGCGTCAACGGCGGTATAGACGTAAGTTTCTGACCTTGGCCTTTCGCCTTTGTCTCCCAAGTGGCGATGTTTACACACTGCACCGGGTACACATCTGAGACTGAGTCGACCTAGGGACTGGCCCAGGACCAGTTCAGATAATCGCCACTGGGCGCGAGTGAGAATCGAACTCGTGTCACCGGGCTCGTGGCGCAGCACGCAACTTTGTCTTGGTGACCTTGTTGGCCGTGATCTGTCCACTGCTAAATGAATGAATTCCTCCCTGAGCAATCTCTTACGGTCATGCAACACAAGGAAGCCATGCAGCACCTGAACGGAGGGGGGGGGGGGGGGGGCGGTGGGGGGGGGGACGTTCTTTCTTGAGCGCCTTCTGTCATTTGACTTCCACTCTGTCGTTAATATCGACCACCAGTCATCGTCTCTTCTAGCGACATGTCCTGCTCAAGAGACAATGATGATGACAGTGACGACGATGATAATGATGACAGCGATGAATATAAGTAATATGGTGACAATGATGTCGTGTACAATTATTACAATGGGCATGGTAGTTATGATGATAAGAAAGGTGATACTATGATAATAACATGTTTTATATCTGTTTAACACGTAGGCTTTCGCGACCAATGTTATTCATAATCAACGTTGATTATGAATGTTTTATATCTGCCCATTTTCTCTAACTACAGATGCAGCAGCAGCAGCAGCTCCAAGGTGGCTTTGCAGAGTACTCTGGGGAAACCATGGAACACTCGGACATGGCCTTAATGGAGAGTGGGGGGCAGATGGGCCAGGGCGGAGGAGACACAGCCTACTTCATGACAGAGGTCAGAACTCAATGACCCCTACCCTCAATCCCCGTTCTGTTATCCCAACCCCGAGCCTTTAACCCATGACACCTACGCGACACCCACTTAGCTGTCGTCGGTTATTTTGCTTTATGTTTGGTTCAGTGACTGGTTGGTTATTTATGGTTTCTGATTGCTGATTTTAATTTGTTGGTCTTTGATTGGTGTTTGTCATTCTCTGATTGTTGATTGTCTCAACAATTGCTCGATCATTGGCCGTCCCTCATTGGCTGTCGTTTCACCATCTCTCGATTGGTTGTTTATATTTGTCGGTCTCCGATTGGTCGTTTGCAGAGCCTCAAGATCCTGGACCAGGATGTGGCTGCTCCGGACACACTGCTCATCTTCAACCAGGAGGGCACCATGGGCGGCTCCCAGTTCTCCCTTGTGTGCCAAGACATGCTGTAACTTCCCGGCTCTCCCTTCTCACGCTGTGTCGCCCAACTTCCTTTAAATACTATCACGTTCCAGGCCCCAGCTACATGTACCGCAACTTCCCTCCCCTTATTAACCACAACTCTCCCTCCATGCTAACCCCAGCTTCCTTCCGTGCTAACCCCAGCTTCCCACACCCCGCACCCCCATCCCCCAATGCTAACCCCTAGATCCCATGTACCCCAACCGCTCATGGTTGGCATGGGCCCTGGTGTAAAGAATGAAATGCGGCCCCCTGTCCAATATCCCCTCCTCTTCAGAGCCCAGTGCCTGAGCCCCTCTGGTCTGTGGGCCCCATTGCAGTTGCACCGCCTGCACACTCCACATCCACGCTCGGCTCTTCTACCCACGTTGCAAAACTCTAACCCCTTTCCTATTCTAACCGTGGAGTCTCGCTACACAGACCCCCGATCCCAGCACTCCTCGTACGCCGCGATTTTGCACCTCCGGTGGCAACCCCACGTACCGGACTAGCGGGCTCGGCCCCTGGTGACCACGGCACCCCCACCTGGGCCTTAGCCAAGCAAAGGGACCCCCCTCAGTGGGCCCAGGTAGCCCCCTTTCCAGAAGCGAGCGATGCACTTTCACCTGGGCCACCCGGGGAAGCCGCCGCGATGTCGGCAGGGTCGACGCGGCAGAGCGAAACCAGCGATCCGGCGGTGACCGTCGGGTAGCTCACTTGTCTGGGCCTTGTGTTAATAAGTTAATTTTGAAATGAAAAACATGGTGGGAAATTTTGACCGACAAATAGATAATAGTTTGTTAAAAAAAAAAAAATTTTTATTACGGTCGTGTCCCTGTGGCGGTGGAGGACGGATGGAGGAGAAGGAAGGCGTGAGGTCAGAGCACGATGCGATGGGCCCACGGCACGCGCCTGCGAACGAGCGCGTCGGTGGAAAGAGTTCGTGGGATCACGCGGAGATCTGCGGAACTCCCGAATGGCGCAGGTGGCCAGGAGATGGTGGAGTACAACATGGGATGTGAACTCACGTGTGAAGACCTCGTTATCCGTCATCCCCTTTGCATGTGTGGGAGGGTCTTCTCTGGGCACTGCCGGCTTGCTACAACATGAAACAAAATTATTCCGCAAAGAAAAAATTGGTCAATAATCCCAGGCTTTGTGGGTAAATAAATATAATTATTGCTATTATTATTTAAACATTGAATATGCTGAATGATTAAAAAAACTTGACGAAGATTTCAATATACCTTAAACTCTTGGAAGTTGAAGTTAGATTGGACCCAGGATATTCGATTATTGAAGCCATCGATTTACTCTACTCAGTATCTGTTCGGTCACTCGACCAATCGGATAACTCCAACGTAGTCGAGGGAAAAAATGTCGCCTCTTATCCGCGTGTGCTGCTGGACGGGAGGTGATGGACTTGGCGATGGTGATGGCATTATTGATCATCAGCCGAGTCCCTTTGGGAGTGGCTTGTTGGGGGTTTCCCGCTTTCAGGAGACGGGATATTGGCTGGCGGTCGACAATGAAAGCCACCTTAGTATAAAGCAGTCGATTGCAATTTTTCAACACGTTCGGCAATAATGCTGTGGCCCTAAAATAAATATAATAGGCGACGTTTTGGTCAATGACCCTTCTTCATAGCACATTTGAATTTGATGTATGTGATATGAAGGGCCATTGCCCGAAACGTCGCCTATTACATAGTTCAACTTTCAAGGCCACACGCGGTATTATTGAAGAACGTGTATGAGGTTTTTTTGTTGTTATTTGTGCTTTTTTGTCCGATGCCGACGCAGCGATTTGCAGCAGATCCAATGACTCGTCCCACTCATCGTCCCAGACTTACACCAGTCTGGGGGATTCCATCAGTGGGAGAGAAATTGTGGGGCGGTGGCAGGGGGGCTGGGGGGGGGGCGATGGGAGGTGCCGGCTGCAAGTGGCCGTCGGTGTTGTGGGAGTGAGTGGGGAGGGCACGATGCTCCCGAGTGCCCTTGTGTGTTTGATGTTGCGGGTTGTTGGTAGATCTAAGTTATGGGTTTGTTTTACTTGACGTCGGGCGGCCGCTGCTCTCGCTGCTGCTGCTGCCGTTGTTGTTGTTTTGCTGTCGCGCGCGGGTGAGAGGTGGCTGACAGCGTCAGATCGCGTGGGAGTGCGCAGAAGCCACACAAAAACCTGACTCGCCAAAAGGAATCTTGTCGGAGTGGGATTGACATTTGAATCACACTGCAGGTTTAACTCTTGATTACAGTGGGATTCAAGCTGTGATATTCAGACTGGCTGCAGTGGGATTCAGGCTCTGACATCCACACTGATTTCGGTGGGATTCAGGCTGACATTCATGCTGTTTGCAGTGGGATTCACACTGACATACACAGTCATTTTAGTGGGATTCAGGCAGTGATATTCACCCGAATTTCAGTGGGATTCAATGTCTGACTTTCACACTCATTATGATGAGATTTACGCCATTCTAGTCCAGGACTAGAGTGGCGTAAACCCATAAATCTCACTAAAAGCTCAATTCTAAACCCATTTTTGTAGGGCGTTTGAGTCACGCAGCAGTCATAGTTTTTTTGTCAGATGGCCACGGTGTAATATTTTTAATTCACTACATTGTTCAACTTCCCGTTCTTTTCATCGTTCGTTTTTTTATCTATGGGGAAAGGGCCGCAATTGTACACAGCGTTCAGTGGCGAGGGTTTAATGGGCAGCGCGGTGTGCCTCGTGCGACTGTTGGTTGATGTTCTCCACAGTTGCCAGCCCTGCCAGATTAAGTGGTGAAAAATAGTTCAAGGTCTAGCCCTGCAACTGCTTGCTAGCACCACTGCTATGGACTCTACAGTCTGATGCAATTTTTGCTTTGAAAATCGGTATGCGGTTCATAAGAGTTTAGAAATCGGCAGCTTGCCTCTCAGATCGATAGGGTTGTCCAAGTTGTCACGTGTTTTGACACGTCCCCGTGTTGTTGGCGTGTTATCGCGTTTGTTTGCGCTTTCTCGTCGCGTGCGGCTTCGAGCCTCGCGAGATCACGACGGGATAATATTTTTTACTTGAGTGTGAATAAATCGCGCCTCTATCTCTCTTTTCGTCACGCCGTACCTGGAGCTGAACCGATCAATGAGCAGAGGCGACATGCGCGTGGCTCAGCGGTAGGAAAGGAAAAACAAAATCGTCTGAAAATGAAAATAAAGAACCCTTTTTTTATCGTCACACGTTTGAGTTGTTTTCCGTTCATTTTGCCGCGAGGTTTTTGTTGTTGAAGATGTTGATTTTTTTGTGGGGCAATGGTGCAGTTCTGGGCGTGCTGCGTTACAAGCCCAGTGACCCCAGCAGGATTCCTGATCACGGCTAACATCGGTGACGAGTTCTGCCTTAACTAGTCCGAGCCCCCCCTGTCCCAATCTTCCCTTCAACCTACACTGGCCCGCGGGATGGAATTTCGTCCAAAAATAATCATGACTGACGTGGAGTGGAAAGGTGTGGTCTGCAAAGAGGACAATGCTTTTTTTTTTCAAATGCCATATTTGAAATTTTCATGGCCTCAAAATCAGCCCCGGTAAAGATGATGTTAACAGTCGGGAGTGACATTCCTGGAAAATGCCGCGTTCGGCAAAAACCGCGTTCGACAAATAACAGACCTTATGGGACAAATAGGGTTGCGTTCCTGCGTCCGAAACTATCACCCCCTCACTCTTAGTTCAACTTATTCGACATGATCCACACCCCCTTATCATTGTACCAACGGATACCGAGTCGCTCTCCATTCCCTGCGTGTGTACAATCTTTATTCAACAACAAAAAACCCCGTCTCCATCCCTCTTCCCGCCCCCAATGCCGGTGGCCCTCTGACACTGAATTTCCAGTCCGCCGGTTCGCCCCCAAACGCGGATCGCCATCGAGGCGTCCACGTGGCTGCCGGCTCAACGACAGGGGCGGCGGCTAAGACGCGTGCAGCGATGTGTGATGCCGCCGCCGCGAAGCCGTTCGGCAGGCGCCAAATCCCCGACCTCGCCACCACCAAGCAACGGAGCCGACCCCGCGTTCACCTCACCTCACACGAACACACCCGCACGCATTTCCCCCCCCGCCCCCCCATAGAGCTCCGAGGGGAGGTCACCTGGCCGACCGGTTTTTATCCGAGAAACCCTTATCGGGGTTAACTCTCACGGTTTCCGGCGATCAGGGAATTGGACGACCTCCCCCGTGCTACGTTGCGCCGCGGCGCTGCGACCAGCCTTAATATGGTGTGGTCGCGGCATGGGGCATTCGGCCACCGCGGTTGAGGCGCATTTCCCCCCACACACACCTCCACGGGTCGACGGGGCAAGCAGGGGAGGGACGGGACAGCATGAATAGCGGGACCGCAGGAGCTGTTGCGCATAGTCATGGAGGGTTGGGATAATTCCGCTTGAGCGCGCAGGCCCCATTGTTAGGAAGGGTAAGGGAGTAATTAGGATGTACGCCGCCAACGCAGCTCACTGATTAGCAGATCAAAAGCGCCCGGAACCGCCGTGCGCGGGCTCGAGGTGCACGAGCCCATTGTTCAGCGCAGCATCCCCTTTGAGGTAGGGAGGATAAATAGAGGGGCGCAGAGGGGAAATCGCTCTCTTCTCTCCAGGCCAGCGGACCAGCAGCAGCTCCAGCCAGCGACCCGGACGTCCGTGAGACGCATCGAGGTACGTTGTTAGCGCAGGGAGCAGCGAACCTCCGCGGGCGCCAAACAGTGAGTGGGGAGGTGAAGTAGGATAATAGCCGATAAATAGGGAATAGGTGCCGGTTTAGTGGAATAGGCCAGCCTCGTCGACTCACTGATTGAACATTAGTTACCAGGTAATAAATCATTAATAGCGAAGCGTGGTCTCGCGTGATCTTGTCGTGCAGTGTGAGCGTGTGGGAACGCGTGTGGTACTGTGTGTGCGTAAGCTCGCGGCGTGCGTAATCGGCGTACCCCAGGTGCGCGATCATAACGTGAGCGGCCAGCAGGCGGCGAGCGCTGCGCAGAGCGGCGCAAGAGTGGGTATCGCGTGTGGAGCTGTATGCGTGTGTGCGCGCACGTTCACTACGTGTATAATACAGGTGCGCGATCCTAACGCGAGTGGTCAGTGTTGAGTGAGTGCCGCGCAGAGCTGTGTGTGGGAGTGCGCATACGTTCGTTACGTGTCGGATACGGATGCGCATTGGTAACGTGCCGCACAGGGCTATACTGCGAGCACGGCGTTTGATTGATGATGATGTGCGCACGTATGCTCGCAGCGTGGGAGCGCGGCGCGAGGCTGTAACAGTAGGGGCGTCGCGTTCGAATGCCGGCGAAACCGTAGCGGGTAATAGGGAGGTGGGGTAACGTAAACGGAATAGGGGATGCAGGCGGGAGGGACCCCGGGGGCCAACGGCCCCCACAAATTGGTGTCAGAAGTGGGATGGACCCCCGCGTTACCTCACGCTAAAATAAGACTAATATTTACCGGCCGGGGGGCGCCTTCGTGGAAGGCATTCGCCCGCAATCTCTTAGGGGCCAAGGAAATTAATGGATGGACGGACGCGCAGGCAGTACGCCAACTTAATATGAATCTTGATGGGTGGGATTTTGTAGAAGCGTTACCCGCGAGCGCACAGACACAGCTAGAGGAGCTGATGCGCCGACTCGATCAGCGTTTTGGCACGCGTGACGAGGAGGAAGCAAAATCGGCCTTAGAGGCGCGCCGTCGCCAACCTGGCGAAGATTTACGTGATTACGCCGAGGATGTGCGCGAGTTAACAAAGATTGCACGCCCGGGGTACGCAACTGATGTTATTGAGGAACTGGCCGCCGAGAAAATCCAGCGGTACCTGTCTCGCACGGCGTGGTGGCAGCCAGACATGAGCTGCCCACGTCTTCCCTTTAACGCCCTTGTCGAGCGCGCACGTAAGTGTGAAAGAATTCACAGCGAACGCGCGCAGCTCCGGGGGCTGGGACGAGAGCGCGCCATTGCGAGCCTGCTCTCGGAAGACGAGGAGGAGGAACAGGAGCTCGCGAGGACGGTAAGGGGCCGGGAAAGAGAGCCTCCAGTGTCCCGCGAGACAACCCCGGGATGGGTTGCCGGTATACAAACGGGTATAAATGATGTCTCTGGCCAGGTAACCCAGATAGACAACAGGGTAACCCAGATAGGTGACAGGGTAACCCAAGTAGACAACAAGGTAACCCAAGTACGGGCACACATGACTGCGCTGGAGACAATGGTAGAGACGGTCCAGGCCGAGGTAGGAGGATTAACTGGGAGAGTAGCGCTTCTAGAAGCAGAATATGAGCAGCAGCGCACTGGGGGAGGAGGGAGTGGGCAGAGAGCCCACTACGGAGCCGCCACCCCTCCCCGGGCGTGTTATGTGTGCGATCGGCGAGGGCATCTCAGGAGGGACTGTCCTCAGGTCGCCCGAGCTAGACAAGAGCTAAGGTCAAACACTAAGGCCCCCCTAGAGAGGGGACCACCGGGGTGAAATCGACGTAGCCCCAACACAAACAAGCTGTGAGAATAATGGCGAGCGAGTGATCTCCACACAGGTTCCAGCAACAACGCCCACAGAAACGGTGACTCCTGGCGACTGGCTACGGGAGCTGGTGGCGGGGATCACGGGGGCCACATCGCTGGTGGAAGGGGAGGTAAACGGAGTGCGTACCCGAATCCTGCTGGACACGGGGGCGGTGGCCTCGCTCGTGAGCGCAGCGCACTGCAGCGCGATCGGGGTCGACGTGCGTCACCTGCAGGCCCCGGACCGCGCGCTGCACACTGCGAGCGGAGCCGGAATGGGGCTGCTGGGGAGAGCCACCCTAGAGGTCCGTATAGGCAGCCAGGTGTGCACGCAGGAGTTCTACGTGTCGAGTGCGTTGTGTCACGAGTGTATCGCAGGCACCGACCTCCTAGAACGGTTGGGACTCAACGTGCAACCCCGCCAGCGATGCGCCACCATGGAGAGCAACGGCGAGCGGATACCGTTCCTGGGATGAGAACCAACGCGCCCCCGCTTCGCACCTGTGGCCGCTATCCTGGCGACGGCAGTCACCATCGGCCCGCTCACCGAGATGTTGGTGCCGGTGGCAACATCCCCCACCGACCCCGCGCTCCGACCATCAGGAGAGGTAATGCTAACTCCTCACCCGGAGTTGGCAAAACGGTATGGGATAGTGGGATCCGCCACGTTGGTAAACGCAGATGGGGACCGATTGTTTATGCGGATGTTTAACCCCCACAATATCCCAGCGACACTGCGACGGCGCACCCCGATAGCCACCGTACACCCCCTGCACGCACGCCACTCTAACGACTCGGTGTTCGCACTCTGGGCTGAAGACCCCGGTCGTCCTGAGGGTGACCAGGACCTGGCCTGGCGAGTCGGCCCGACTCCCCGAGCCGAGGTCGTTCCCCTGTTTGACGCGTTACATGTACCATGGGCGGATTTACCTAAGGGAGAGGGCGATCGGCTGCGCGAGTTACTGCGGGAGTATGCCGACGTATTCAGTGAACACGACTCGGACGTGGGTCGGACCGATCTTGTTAAGCACCAAATTGACACCGGTGCAGCCCGACCCATCAAACTCCCTGCGTACCGAGTGGGCGCACCCGAACGCGCCCAAATCAAAGAGGCAGTTGGGGACATGCTTCGCGATAACATAATTCAGCCCTCGGCGAGCCCCTGGTCAGCCCCAGTGGTACTAGTAACGAAAAAGGATGGGTCAACCCGGTTCTGCGTCGATTACCGTAAACTAAATGCAGTCACGCTCGGCGATGCCTTCCCCATACCCCGCATCGACGACACCTTCGACAGCCTCGCCGGAGCGCGGTATTTTTCCACCCTCGATCTCGCGTCCGGGTACTGGCAGGTGGAGATGGCGGAGGAGGATCGGCCGAAAACCGCATTCACCACCCCGATGGGACTATTCGAGTTTCGAGTACTCCCGTTCGGACTCACCAATGCGCCTGCGACGTTCCAGCGGCTGATGGAGTTGGTGATGCGGGGCTTGCAATGGGAACAGTGCCTGATTTACTTGGACGATGTGATAGTGTTCAGTAGATCTTTGTCTGAGCATTGGTCCAGGCTTCGAGAGGTGTTCCAGCGACTGCGAGCGGCTCATCTCAAGCTCAAGCCACGTAAGTGTTACATCGCACAACGCGAGGTGGGGTACCTCGGGCATCGCGTCAGCGAGGCAGGCGTGCACACCGATCCGGAGAAGGTAC